ATTTTTTTTTTTTTTTTGTATTTTTGCAAGAAAAACGTAAAAATTATTTTATTTGCAAATAAGGTGCTTAAGAGTTGAAAATTTGACATTAAAAATTTCACTATATAAATATCTTATAAAACATGTCAAGAAGAGTCAAATTGGCATTTTAATTTTTTATTAAGAAATAAATCACATTATTTACTAATATTTTTAAACCTATGGATGAAATCTTTAAGAAACAAGCCACAAATAGGAAAGAAATCATAATCATAATTATTTAAGAAATTGAAATGAAATTGTAAAATTTTAGAAAAATTGTTAATTTTCAAATCTGGACCAATCCCGATTGAAATTAAACCGATCCCGATCAAAATCAATACAAAATTCATTATTACCAGGTTACTGCCAATCTCATGCAGTTTCTACTGAGAAATCCATAAGATTGATATGTTCAATTATCTTGAGAACCATATTACACAAACTTGTGAAATTGTTACATGTATATATTTCCATTTTATATAATTATGGTTGGGATCGATAAATCATTTAATTTTGATCGGGATTGGTCCAAATTTGAAAATTTGCAATTTTTCTTAAATTTTGCAAATTCATTTCAATTCCTTTATGAAATACAATTGCCTGATATTTGTTTTCTTGGAATAACTTGTTTCTTGGAGATTTTATCCATAGGTTTATAAAATATTAACAAATTATATATTTTAAATTCATAATTTATTTTCTATCAAAAAATTTAAAATGTTCAGATGCTTCCTGACATGTTTTATGAGCTATTTATATTGTGCAATTATTAACAGCAAATTTTCTACTCTTAATCGCCTCATTTTCAAATAAAACAATTTTTACATTTTCTTTCAAAAAAAAAAAATACAGATAAAATAATTTAGACCCTATATTAATCTTTCCATACTAAAACCATGTTTCAAAAGAGATGCCTTTGAGATCCATTAAATAAAATTTGGGTGTAGCATTCAGTGTACCTTAATTTTGATATCGAATTTGGATCGGGATCGAGATATCGATAATCAGGACATGGCGGGAAACGCCAAGCAAGAACAACAGAGCGAAAAGAAGACAGGTAATTTGAATTGAACAAAATAATTTTACATCCATGAAAAGAGACCGACTACAGGTGGATCTGTTTAAACAAAGTAAAAACAATAAACAGAAATTATGAAATATTTAAAGACATAAATAAAATAATTTTACATCCGTGAAAAGAGACCGACTACAAGTGGATCTGTTAAACAAAGTAAAAACAATAAACAGAAATTATGAAATATTTAAAGACATGAGTAAATGTTAGGATACACGTATCCAGGGTCTATAAACTTGATTATCAAAAATATTCTTGACTTAAGATCATATTCTCAAAGGTCAAGGTCTCCAAGCAAAGGTGTCACCCACTTTTGTGTGTCTGTGTAGATTTATCTTATGACACAATTAGGCGGTTGCATATCTGGGATTTAAACCTCCTATCAATGATTCTGAGTTTAAATCCAAGTTTATGCGTTGCACTCAAGCAAGGCTTGCTAAGTACGGCTCAGAATTACGGTAAAATCTGAACCTGGTGTAGGGGTGGTTTAAACCCGGCTTGATATAGTTTTTCGTGAGTTTTCTTGAATATTTGGATAATTTGGGCTGTTTAGATGTGGTGGAAAGACCGATTTGATGAAAACAAGTTGTGAGAAACAGGTTATATCCAATTATGCTTTATGGTGATATTGATTTAGGTTTCAGCATATACTATTCTACAAGAGATTATTTATGGTCATATTGGGGATGTTTTAACACAACTCTTCAGTGCCCTTTCAGGGCTCTCGATTCTCTATATTTGGGGCCGTTCAAAGGCCCCATTCCCAATTTAAAAAGGCACCTTTTTTCCCAATTGAATGTGTTAATTTTCCCCAATCTGTCACTTCCCCAAACATTTAACAACATTTAAAAAGATATATAGTTACTAAACAGAAATTAAGTTGATAACAACCACCAGAAACTCAATATATCATGAATTTAATGTATAATGTCTAGTATTGATTTTCCCAAAATTACCCAAAAGGTCGCTAATTTTCCCAATTTTTATGGCCCCGACCCCAGTCCCAAAAGTGGTGTGAGAGCCCTGCCTTTTTAATCAACTAATAACACTGATGCTGCTGAAGTAGAATGCTACTAGATTTTTTTTAAACATGACTTTATTTGGGGTGTAAGATTAGATACTTTCTTTTGTAACTGCCTTTTTATATGAAAGCCCCCCCCCCCCCTTTTCATGCAGGAAATTTGAGACAAACCTGTATGAATTTTAAAGGGGGATTCTGCCTGGAATATGGGTGGAATATAGCAGGAATCGGCTACGTAATTCCAGGCGTACTTGAGACGGAGGTTTTAAGGTCACATAGTATTTTATAATAATGAGGACTTTCCAGGCGTAATTCTGCTTCAGGCGTCATTTTAGTTTCCAGGCGTCATTTATTTTTCCAGGCGTAGCTCATTTGCATTTTTCGCCTCAAATTCCTGCTCAATTCCGCTTGGTTTCCTCTTGTTTTATGCCCAGAACCTGTATATCACCATATATGTAGTGAGACAAACTGACGCCCGGAATCCTTCTCAAAGTACGCCTCTATTCCCCCTATATTCCGGGCGGAACATTTCGTACAGGAAGCAGAATACGTACTGATGATACACATTCCAATAATTTTTCTTAATAATGCCAAATTTCTTTTAGAAATGAGAAAATTTATGTTTCAATTAATGTGCAGGCTAGAGCTATATATGTGACCACAAACTCAAACTGATGCTAATCTGGATGTTGTTATACTGGATCAATGGCAACTTGCCAATATGAATAATGTCCAAATCAGATTATTATGTTAGTTGTACATCAGACTAAGCCAATGATACAAATGAGAACCAAGGTTCAATAACTTTAGAGAAGGTATCATTTGATGCTTAATTGAAAATTCAAATCATATATATTGTTCTTACATAATTCAACCCTGCATTAAGTTTTGGCATTGTTTCTAAATCACTATGAAATTCCAATGACCCCTTTCAGTTTTCTCTCTGTTCTGTCTTCTTCAAAAGTCTATTTTGTTAGTGATTTCATATATTTTTTCACAGTAATTTTAGTGATTTCAGTTTTGTTGATGAATCCCTTGGTTTGACTTAAATTCTGTAGCATTTTTTTTTTTCACATGCATTTTTAGCTCTCCTCAATGAAGTTGGGGGAGCTTATGTAATACCCTAGGTGTTGGCGTCCCAGGTTAAAGTTTTTGGAGCAGTTTTCTTTTTAAGTACTTCTACGCCCTATATTATTCAGAGCTGCATGGAGGATGCTTCTAGTGTGTTTCATGGTACCAGTCAAGGTTTCAGATGCTGCAATTTCGGCTAAGAATGAACTGGTTAATGTTTTTGGAGCAGGTTAAAGTGTTTGGAGCTGGCCTCATTTCCAAGTAACTATAAGCCCTATGTTGACCAAACTAATTGCATTGATGATACACCTAAGGATGCACACTACTAGGCTTCCTTTGGATGCTGGATCTGACCTACATTTTCCGGATGAGTGACCAGGTTTAGTTTTTGGAGCAGATCTCATTTCCAAGTAACTATAAGCCTTATATTGACCAAACTTGCATGGATGATACTCCTAAGGATGCACACTACTGAAACTTGCTTCGGATGCTGGATCTGACCTACATTTTCCGGATGAGTGATCAAGTAAAAGTTTTTTGGAGCAGATCTCATTTCCAAGTAACTATAAGTTCTGTGTTGACCAAACTTGCATGGATAATACATCTAAGGATGCACACGACTGGACTTGCTTCTGATGCTTGATCTGACCTACATTTTCTGGATGAGTGACCAGGTTAAAGTTTTTGGAGCAGATCTCATTTCCAAGTAACTATAAGCCTTATATTGACAAACTTGCATGGATGATGCATCTAAGGATGTACACTACTGGACTTGCCTCAGATGCTGGATCTGCCCTACATTTTTTGGATGAGTGACCAGGTTAAAGTTTTTGGAGCAGATCTCATTTTTAAGTAATTGTAAGTCCTATGTTGATCAAACTTGCATGGATCATACATCTAAGGATGCACACTACTGGACTTGCTTTGGATGCTGGATTCGACCAACATTTTCTGGATGAGTGACCAGGTTAAAGTTTTTGGAGCAGATCTCATTTCCAAGTAAATGCAAGTTCTTTGTTGACCAAACTTGCATTGATGATACATCTAAGGATGCACACTAATGGACTTGCTTGGGATGCTGGATAGTTTTTAGATAAGTCCATTCCCAAGTAACTGCAAGACCAAAATTGCATAAATGTTGCATCTACGGATGCACACTACTAGATTATTAGTTAAGTGTGGGGCTTTGCCTTAATTAAAGACAACATTCATTGAGGTGAGCTCTGTAATCTCTGATTACCTATGTTTTGATTACCTATTTACTAACATTATGTTTGTTTTTAATCATATTCTTTCTAGATTCAACCAGTTCCATTAAAACTTATTTTTTAAGTACCATGAAATTAGGTAACTTAATAGCATTCAACATTGTACTTGAGTACGTCAAGATTAGGTAAGCCTTACTGGGTTTTATAGCGTGCAACAGAACTATGGCTCAAGTAAACCCGATGCAGCTGACGTTTAAACCTGGCGCACGTGATCCACAGATCAGAGCTTGAGCTGTACTTATCTGAGCCGTAGCTATGCAACTGGCCAAAAAACTCCTGACAGTTTTCATTATATTAGCATGATTAGTAATTTCAAGTTTTCAAATCGGTGTATTGTACTTAAATTGCATGTATAATGTATTCAAAGTAATAACAATATGTTACCATGTATTAGCATTGAAGTAAGTTAGTGTTTGGGCAGTTGTAAGTGAAATATTTGGAATGTATATCTTAATGTATAGTAAAATATGCATATTGAATGAGAATGTAAACAGACAATTACAATATGTTTTTTTTTTGAAAACATTCAATAGATCCTAGAAGTCTGGAGAAGGGAGGACTAGAAAAGCTATACATGTGGACAGCACTCCACCCTACTACTCCCCATATCTGTGCCACAAGTAACTATTGGAGGGAGAGTTACGGAGGCCGACAGGGCTGCCATTCCCAGCCAGAGTGATATTTTGTACACTTTAGTTTATTACATAATTTTATTTCAAAGAACAAAATATACATGTATAAGATAAAAAATTGATTTGAAATCATAGAAAATGTAATAAATACATCCATAGTTTAATTTTTTTCTGACACAGCCAATCTGTGACGGATGCCTATGAATTTTGGGGTCATATTGCTTTGTCTATCAACGTCTTTAATATTAGCTTTAATAGAAGTTCTGACATATATGTATGAATGATTTTTTACATGGTTACCTTCCTTTTGTACCATATTTTATTCTTATTAACAACGTTACTGTGTCAAGGACAGTAATTCTAAGCATTACTGTATCAGTTCTACACTTACCCATGAAAGCCCTTAGTTTGGCCTTATCTGACTGTGTCAATTTTGTATTAATTAATCAAGGCTATATTTCTTGTGTGAAACTCTTCTTTTGACAACAATTTTTCTAATTTCAGGAGTAGTCCCCCCTTAAAGACTGCAGGATGCAGTCTGGTCACAGATAAAGTTTTGATGCCAGTCCACCAATCACCACTGTAAACTTATTCTACAGACAGGTAAGAAATCATTATTTAGAATAATTTTAATAAAAGAAGAACATATCTATAATTATGTGAAGACTCTCTCATTTAAAGTAAGAAGTAACAAATTAAACATTTTAATCAAATGAATACTGAAACAAAGTAGTTATTACATTTTATACAAATTGCATTAAATACTCATTTCATACCTACTAATTATTTCTAACACAGCATTAATACCACATTTTTTTTTAAATCATAGAATGATTTATGCTGAAAGAATTTTCACAGAAAATTTTTGTTGTAAATTCATACCTTTCAAAAATAAGAACTTTACTCCAAATGCTGTATATTTACAAATTGAATATGACTTTTGTACATTTTAAGCTATGGGTGTTTTGATGGCCTTGTTCGCCAATCTCGTTTCGTCGACATCCGCACCAAGAAAAATAGAGATAGAATATTCTAGTACTAGGGCTGGGACAATACAACTTTTTCTATATCGATACATATCACAGTATTTAAGCCACCATATGTATCATGATATTTTAATAGGTTATAAAATCTTTCTGAACAAAAACATTTCTTCACAAATAAGAATAATTTATTCAAAGAAGTTGTATATCTGTTGTAAAACAAAAATTATTTGACACAAGTGGTGTTAATTATTGTATATTTCATATTTACATATAGCATATTTATTTTATATATTAAACCCAAAATGTTAAGTAAAGAAAAACATAAGTCAGAATTATTTTTGCGATATTTCAATATTTTTTCATACGTATCGTCCTCACACAGAATCAATGTTATCGATATATTGTCCCAGCCCTATCTAATACCAATAAAAACATTTGATTTTGTTCATAGAAGTATAAAGAAAGTGGCATTCATTTTATACTTTTTGCAACTCACTTTCGTTTGTGACATGTTAACAGTATAGGGGAAAAAAATCTTGATTTAAAATTGCAACTTTAATCTATTTTTGGATCTTAATTGTATAATGACACCAATAGCTACTTATGTAAACAAAACTGAACAATGACAGTAGGCTTTGCAAACAAAAAACACTCTTGAAAAAGCTAAAGCAGCCAAAAAAGCTAATGTGATGAGCAACGGTAAATGGCACACTGAATTTTTATATGGCAGAATTAAGTCAATAACAAATCCTTGATTCCTCAACAAAATGTTACTTAATAAGTGAATTCACCATGTTATCCTTTTACAATTTATTTACATGATATCAAGTTTTTAATAATCCATCACAAATAACAAAGTAAGATATCCTCGAACAGCACTAACTATTGTATACTAAATGACTACAAACTCTCCACCCAGAAACTTTCAATCCCCTATACAGTCAAACTTGTCATAGCGGTCACATTTATCCAGCGGTCACCTGTCCTATGCGGTCATTTTATTTCCTCCCAATGAATTTTCCTATATAATTTAACTCTATTAAGCGGTCACCCGTGTAACGCTGTCAGCGGTCATCAAATTTCATGTAAAATTGCCGTTTTACTTCGTATATAGCGGCCATTTTGTCCAATCACGTGACTGGATCTAGAGTCAGGTGACTCCCAATTTTTGTCACTAATGTAAATAATTGGTCTAGTGTGGCGAGATCATGGAAAAATATTTACATTTGCAAATGCTTTCCTTTATATAACACTATTGAAAGCAATGTGTATCTATATCCGTATAAACACCGGTTCCTCACATCATAAACGTTCGGCGTAATTTCTCATTGACGTCATAAAGGGTCGACGTGCAATCAATGGATTAAACATGTGCCGTTAAGTTTGAAAAATAAAACACTTCAGGCCTTCAGGCCCTTCGGGCTTTATGGAATTTAATCTCGTGACCAACCCGTATTTATAGCCCGATAGATGTTTAAAAATGATATCTTATTTCTTAAATAAAGTAGGTTGCTCAGTAAGAGCAACGCTTTTGTCGAGGTCAGTTACATTATTTACTCAACTGTTGCTCACAAGGAGAAACGGGTATATATTTGTACTTTAAATAGACATCCTACTAAACAATCTTACACAGGACTAAATGAAATAACTAAGACTAATTATAGATTATTACTTTAAAGGGGCATAGACATCATGGACATAGATTTGAAGTTAATATTTTCTCAAATTTTCTGTATAATATCATGACTTATATGTTGCTATAGCGTTTCACTCGGAAATATAATAATAAACTTAATTTATCTGGAAATTATTGAAATTACTAAATTTCGGGACGCGTTTGATTGACACATCCTTGCACTTTCACAAGGTAAACTTTATCCTTAAAGGGTTTTTATCACGTTTGAAAATTTTTTGATATGACAAGGTTTACATGTTACTTAAATCATATATTTAAAATTCTTTGCCAAGAAATTAATATTTTTGATGTTTCAGCGATTCAAAGTTTGAATTTCTCAATATGCATATTTTGATCCCCGATGTTAGGCGCCATTGCTCTGACGTCATAGGTGTCAATCCTGGTCAAGTGAAGTACTTACTGTGTATACAAAAGGGCTCATTTGTTGCGTCTATTAAACCTGTTAGAAAATACTTAAGTGATAATTGGATAATTGACAGTTAGTAAGATATAATTTGTGGCTTTAGGATGCACAAATGTGCACAAGAAAGGTTTTAGAAAGATTTTTTTCCACATTTCCTGGACTTGGTTGAGAGATCAAAGGGGGGCCCTTTTCTGCAAACGCGATGGCGTTTATCTCCATTCAGAACAATCAATTATGCCCGATCAAGAATTTTCTGTACTATAAAATATTTAAAGGAAAAGATACCTTTTTTATAAAAAAAAAAAAATGAAAATAAATGTCTAACATGCATTTTTTTAAAGTTGTACAGAATCTAGTAGGAATGTTGTGAACTTCGTAATGGCGTATGGCGCCATTGAAGAAGTGTCACTTCTACTATATGATATTCACTGCTGGAACAGATAGAAGATATTCAGGATTTATTTATATATAAATAATTGAAATAATGAAGAAGGAGAATTTCAAATTCCCATATTTATAAATATTTACGAAGTTAAAATTTAATAATTCGTTCTATTCAGTAGAGGTCCCGAGTTGTCAACGGCCTCGTCTTTGGTGACCTCTCCAATTGCCGGCATATTTTCTGGTTATTTCTCCTTGCTAGATGTTCATACATAAAATATTGACCGTCCATAACCAAAGGAATATGGCCAATGTCAAAATTTAAACCAGCCATATTGTGTAGTCTATTTATTTAACGTAAATATCTATTCAATATATTTTTTCTTACGATAAGCTTTACGAGTTCTAATTGACCATTAATTGACACCTATGACATTTCAGTACCACGTGACCCCAATCTAATTAGAGGTGATTTTTACTTCGAGAACCCTATGTTATGGGTGTTTTATTGTCTAATTATGACTGTTTTCAAAATTATTTCATAATTAAACAATAATTATATGTTTCAAGAATGTAATAGTGTTTCATTTGAAAGAAATTTAGATATGTGATAAAAAGCCTTTAATACTTAAGAAAAGTAGAAATTTTGTTGTGTATTAATGAAAAAATTAAAGATATAATCCAGAAAATTCAGAGTAGAAATGTGAGAAAGCAAAACCAACTCGCCAGTATTGTCAGTCCGTACTCAGTGATGTGTGCAGAGTTTAACAAATTGAACACACCCGATGAGACGTAAACATTAACAATAACAGGGCTCGTGCCCTGTTTACAAAACAGTTTACATTCCACCGGATGTGTTCAATTTGTTAAACATTGTTGCATGTCCATGTTTGTATGATGAAAGGATCAACACTGATCAAGTGTATACCCGGGCTAGTCTTATTATCTCTTGCTCTGTCAAATCATTACTTTCATACCCCTTACATTTAAGAAAATCAATATTATAAAAATATCTGATATATAATAAGTGTGTAGCGTGTGCAATTTATTTGACTGCGGTCATGTACACATGTGATTCGAAATACCCCAAACTGTAGGGGGCTACAAATACAGCCATAACTAATATACATGTATATTTGAGGTGTTATCAAAAACAATTAATGCTCAAAGAAGCTAATAAAATTGCCGTTCTATCAATACCTAATATGCCATGTTTCATCCACCTACAACGCCACAACATCGATGAGAAATACAATGCAACATTTCTACATGAACATTTCTTAGAAAAAGGAAAGCAAGTTCATGATTTAATTTATTATTTTTTTAATTAACACATTACAGTGGCCTCCGGCTATTACGAGATCGGATACAGCAAGGTACCACTTACAACGAGATAAATTTTGAGTCCCAAATTAATTCTTATATATTTCTTTTATAAAAAATGCCGGATATAACAAGATCGCTTACAACAAGATTCCACTTATAACGAGGTCAAAATCTGTCCCAGTTAGTAGAAAGAGCAATTGGATATAACGAGGTACTCGCATCGCGCATAATTGCACCTGCTAGTCAGAGGTAAATAATGGTAATTATCACAGGTATTTACACAACTTTACGCCATGACAATTAATTAAAGGTGTTGAGAAGTAATAGCGAGTTGTTCTTATTGCTAGAAAAACTTCAGTATGGCTTCTAAGAACGAATTACGTAACAAAAGTAGAAACTATTAGCGAAGTTTGAAAACATTCAAAGAAAATTATTAATGGCTATGGATTAACATTTAACACATCTAGAAAAAAAAAAAAAAAAAAAAAAAAAAAACTTCACATTGCCTTGGAGTTTTGGCCTGGTGATTTCAATGTAGAAAACGTGTTGTATACAAATGTACGTGACTTTGCAGAGTTAATGAACTTGGTCAGCCAGTGGAGCTAAAATTAGCAATACTGCTTTCAACTGAGCCTTCCGATTCTTCAACATTGATTCTTAAGATATTAAAAACAAAAACAATATCAAATGATATATTGTTTTTAAAATAAAAAGTGCGAGTGACATAATTGAAGAGGTTGGAGAAATTGAAACAAAGATTTGGCGATGTCAAACGTTGAGAAATTTCTGCAAACTAAATTGTCAGACATGG